GTTTGGCCAACCAGTAATAGTTGGTCCTAAGTTCCCACCCAAAATTTTAAATGGAATGTATGTCTATGATAAGTGATATATCTATATCTATATATAAGTTCATATGTACTTCGCACATGATGGATCTTTAATAAATACCCAATGAACGAGTGAATGAATGAATCAGTCATGTCACCAATGGTAAGAATTTGCAAAGAATGTCCTATAACATTAATACTTGTAGATTGAGATTTCTCAGCAAAGTCCTTACCATGAAAGTCATAGTTCTTCATAGAATACAAATTTTTTAAATACAAGAGTTTCATCTTTGATTTTCTTCCCTTTTCCCCACTATGCTCAATATAGTGTCCAATATGGTTCTTCAATACATACTGGCTGATGGACTAAATAAAAGTACACTTGGAATGTTCTTATTTCTTTGATAAAGAACATGCAGTAAGCTAAAATGAGACTCTTTTTCTTGCCAAACTTCTTCAATTAGAGAATGCTTGCTGTGACAAATAACAGAAAATACAGCTCAACTGCCTTAAACAATAAGAAAATGTACGTCCAATAAGCATGCCTCTGGTGTTTGACCTGACAGTTCAGTGAGGTCATTAAGGACCTCAGTTCATCTCTCCACTCTGCCATATGCATAGTGTTTTCATCTTCTGGCTGGTGCCTCCCTACATGCTCCCTCATTTACCTTCATTGGGAGAGAGAGGGAGAGAGCATATTGGGCTCATGACTCTTCTAAGAAGAGTTAAGGACTTCCTTCCTAGAAGCTTCAGCAACTCCCCTAGCCCTGCAACACATCTCGCTGGTCTTAACTGGATCACATCACCATTCCTGAGCAGGCTGTGGAGGTAAGGGGAGTGAAATTACTTTGATGTGCTTAGACTAATTAAGATCCAGTCTTAGAGCTTCCCTCAAAGCACTTTTCTCCTCATAAGAGGCATTAGATACAAGAATCTGAGTCCTGTTAGAAAAGGAGAAATGGATGCCAGGAAGACAGTAAACAATTACTGTGCACAGTATACCTTCTGTAAGGCCGAACTTCCCTATTATTATGTGCCACCGTTGTTGCATTAATCTTCCATAGATTGATTCCCCAAGATCCCTTGCTTGCCTTCATGTAGTATTACTCAACTAGATTTTATCCCTCACCACTCAGTGTTAGAAAATAATAATAACTATCATATATTGAGTACTAGGGTGAATCTGAAGAGACAGACTGACAGGATTCTCCCCCCTCCATCAAGTATTTTACATTTTTACATACATCAGTTCTATGAAGTAGATAATATAAACCCCATTTTTACTTGTAAGAAAACCAAGACTTGAAAGAAAGAAAGAAAAAGAAAAAAGAAAACCAAGACTCAGAAGGATTTAGCAAACAGCCTAAAGTCACACAGCTACTAAGGGTAGAGATGAAATTCAAGTCCAGGTCTGTAGGCTCTAAAGACTGCTCTTTTCATTATACTGCCTCACAACTCAGCAAAATATGTTTAATTTAATTAGACTGTTCGTTTTCATTATATCTTCTCTTTGATCAAGTCAGAACATTTTAGGAATGAGAAGGAAACTGCTCCACTTTTTGACTTTATTTTGTGTTTCCCAGGAAGCTTCCTAGGAAGCTTAGAAAAAAAATCTACCTCCTCTTCCAAGTATCAGCTCGACTATTCTATTTTTAGTAAATGAGTTATAGCTAGTCACTAATTGTGATTTTAGTTCCACTCCTGGCTGTTTCCTACATACTCTCTGCTTCAAATTATGTAATAGGTCATGTTTACCTATTTTAGCTGTATGTTACCATGCAGCCAGTTATTTTTTAAAAAAAAATATAGAATTCTTTGTATTTAGGCCTTAAAGTTCTGGTGGTGACATTTACATTGCCATCTCTATGAATAGTGGCTCCTGGAGTCCTACAGTCTAGGCCTGTATGCGGCAGCCTAGTTAAAATCTAACTCCAAGGGGAAATGTGCAGTGGGTGAGGATGTGTTATTTGATTCCTTCCAAACTCCAAATATGTGGTCTGGTTTCTCCTCTAGTCATATTCTATTTAGGTGATACCTAGAAAAGAGATCAAGTTCAGGGTCAACTGTTCACATTCCTTTGCTGTTAAGTTTGAATGGTATGTCCCACTCAAGCAAGAGCCTAAATTTAAAATAACCTTTGGGGGCTTCCTTGATGGGGACAGAACTGAATCTTTGAGTTGTCTATAGCAGTGTAGTTTCCGGGGATCAAATTCTGAGGTGATGTTTCAAATTTCTTAACCTACAAATGCCTCTAAAGATGGGAACCAAGTCACCTAGATCTACCTTCAAGTGTCAGATTTAGTTAAGATTAGAGGAAGTTCCTTAGCTATGGAAATATTTTACTATGAATTGGGCTCAACCAACTCTTCCACAAAATCTTGGGAAAATACAGTTTAATTTCAAATTAACTACATGAATATGTATTGTGTATTTTTGACCCAGATGGAGATTTCTTATAATTTCTGGATGGCACAGATGAAAATCTCTAATAGATTATATAAAAATCAACCTAACAATTTGGCAATTGTATAAAAGTTCAGTCTTGCCCTCCCATAAGTATTTCCCCTTTTCTTAAAAGAAAAAATGGAAGTCTCGTTTTTTTTCACCCCTTTACTGTGCAACTCCTATCTTCAGCTCCATGTCTAAGCCATCATGGTGGCCCCATTTCCCTTGCAATGGTCTACATATGGATATATGATATAGTTCTGGCCAATGAGCCATGCAGGAACATCTGCTTGGAACTTCTAAGAAATGTTTCTTCATTCCTATAGAGTAAAAATTCTTCCTTTTCTGGACATTGTCATATATGAATGGGATGCCTGGAACCGTAGCAGCCATTTTGTGACCTCAAGGGGTACGGACCTTAATGTCAAGTCCACCAGTTCAGGATGGCAATAGATGAAAAGAAGCTAGGTCTTTGATGAAGTTATGAAGCTACTCAAGTAACCAACTCTGGAGGAGCTCTAGCACTGGACTTCTTGTTATGTGAGAAAATAAATTTAAACCAGCTGAACTCATTTTTCTGTTAGGGTGCTCTCAGTTGCAGATAACAGAAACAGCAACTCAGCTGTCTTAAATTCTCAGTTGGGAACATTCAAAGTGACACAACAGGTCATATTTTGAGTTTCTCTGTGCTTCTGCCTTGATCCCAGCCTTTACCCATTACCCCCTTCCCATTAGTTAGTCCTTCGTACCATCATTGGAATGACTGCTTCAGTCTCCTGAGGTTGTCAGATTTTTTTTTCAGTAACCCAACATCCTGACTGGAACTCTTATTTAAAGCATATGTGCTACTGTGCAGTAATTGTCAGATTGTCTCCTACATATGATTATAAGATCTTTGAGGGAAAGATGTGTGTTATTCATGTTAGTATGTCCAATGCCTAACACATTGCTTGGTACACAATAAGGAATTAATGTTTATTAATGAATAAAAATGCTAATGAGTATCAAATGCTAACGAATAAAAAATAATGTCATGAAGACAACTGTGCTCCCTCTTTGGCTGACTTATTCTTGGTACATTATACACCATGGTATCCTAGGCAGGGTGGGGAGGATTAAACAGATGAAGGAAAACCTTTAACTCTAACATTTTTTGACAGAATTTGGGAAAAAGGTAAATCAAACTTAGTGGAGATTTTTGTAAATCTTGTATCCATTCTATCTTTGCCTGACTCGTATGATAAATTATTCAAAAATATGTATTGAGTGCCTAGTACATGTCAAGCATTGTTTAAGAGTTTGGGATACATCAGTGAAATAAACAAAGAAAGCCCTCAAAGAGCATTGGGTCTACAAGTGAACTCTAGCGATCATTTCCCTTTTCTCCATCTTAGTTTGGCATTTGTGCACGAACAGGAAGCACTATCATGGAAAGCTCACAGATTCTCAGATGAAAGACACCGGTAAACATGTGGATATATTGTTCCTACAGGCTGCCACTTTCTAGAACCGAGGACAGTTAAGAGGAGGAGGTCACTGATTAAATCTGCTTCTTGACTTTGTTAGCAATCCATGCAAATAGGCATTGCCTTCATTTTTAAAAAGGGAGTTTTATATAGACCTGCAATATTGGGAGGGTGCAGCTCTCTTTCCAGCTGCAAATCTCCATGAGATTTCTGGGACAGTGAGCCCGGTGCATACACACTAACTTGGTGTTTCCCTTCTCCAGTTTGCTGGGGACTCTGCGCTGAGAGGCTCCACCTGAGCACAGCACCTTAGCTGTAGAGGCTAGTTTGGGCACAGGCACAATTTCCTACAGAAACTGGGCGTATTTGAAAGGGACTAAGGGAAGCTTATTTTATGTGTCCCTCCTACAACCCCGGCTTCTACTGAAGTGAAGACTAGAAATAAAGGCCACACTGATTTCTGAGAAAACACATTACCATGGGAAAAAAGTACTAATTGCTCTGTGGGTAATGTTTTTATTTTACAAATGCTCTGTGGCTCTGCAGTGACAGCATGGTTACATTTCTGACAGTATCACTGGTACAATTTCCAGGCCCCTCAGGGAGAGCACTGTGGGAATTTTCCTCCTGGAAAGAAAGGCAAATTCTCTGGTCTCAAAGGTACCCTTGATCTAAACACGATTCAAAATAAGTAAAAAACGGATGATAACACAGCAAATAATGAAAGCTTGACAATTCAGCTAAACCAAAAGATCTTATCCAGAACACTATGGGAGCGTCAAAGAGAACTGCAAAAAATAACTATGTCTTTGACTGTTTTTTACAACTTCCCAGCCGCTCAAACTCTCGTCTCCAAACTGGGAAATGTGAGAAGAACCAAAGGGGAGAGAAGAAACTGGAAAAGTGTAGGGAAATGTAAACATTAGAAAGAAATAGAGTGTAGGCTGGGGACAGCTTCAGGGTCAATGTCTGGGACTCTCCTGCCCGGTATGATCTAGATAGACCCGGGCCAGCCGCGTGTTCCGTGGAGGCTGGGTGGCGGCGACAGATGACCCGTCTGGCCATCGAGCGACTAGAACGCGCTTTCGCAGGAGCAGGGCAGCGGCCGGGGGCGCGGCGGGGGTGGGCGCAAGCCTCCCTCCACGGGCTGCTCGCGTCTAGCGTGGTGGTAATGGGGGTGGGGCCAGCGGTGGCGGTGAAGCGCTTGGTGGCCCCCGGCCTCCTCATCGTCCTCCGCTCTTCCCTCCCACGAGCAGCAGGCTGCGCCCAGGCACCTTCGCAGCCGCCGCAGGAGCTGGCGGCCGCCCGCCTGGAAGAAGAGGTAGACGAAGGGGTTGAGAGCGCTGTTGGCCACCCCCACGAGGTGCAGCGCCGCCATCAGGTCCTCGGTCTCCCAGTCTCCCACCTGTCCGGACGACCACGCGGCCGCCAGCCGGGCGACGAAGTAAGGAAGCTCGCAGCTCACGAACAGCAGCGCCAGCGCCAGGCTCATCTTCAGACTCTGGACCTTCGCGCGGGGCAGCGCGCAGGGCGCAGGGGCTTGGCCAGGAGTCGCCGACCAGGGCGCTGAAGGCCGTGGGGCTTGGGGCAGGCGCTGCCACCAGGCGCAGAGCAGGCGGCTGCATGCTACGCCCGTGACCGCGACCGGCGCCACGAAGCCCGCGACGGCTTCATAAAGCGCGTAGACCTGCAGGTGCCAGCGCGGCAGGGGCGCGAAGATGTCGCGGCAGCGACGCTCCTCCGCCCAGGTGCTGGCTGCGGAGGGCGCGGCAGGAGACGGCGAGGGGGCGCCCCCGCGCACCACGAAGGCGGGGGGCAGCGCCAGCAGCAGCGCCAGCAGCCAGCCCAGCGCGGCGAGGGCGCGCGCGGGCAGCGGCGGGCCCTGCGGCCGGCGCACTGCGCGCTGGCGTTCGAGGGCAATGAGCACCACGAGGTGGGCAGAAGCGCCGCGGCCAGACGCCTGCAGCAGCTGCACGAAGCGGCACGACAGGTCTCCCGCCGCCCGGCGCGGCTCGCCCAGAAGCTCCCAGGCCAGCTGCGACAGCGCGGTGCCTCCGCACGCGTACAGGTCAGCCAGGGCCAGCTGCACCAGCAGGAAGTCCATCTTGCGACGCTTGGGACCCGCCCAGGGCCCGCCACCCCCGCACAGGCGGCACAGCACCGTGGCGTTGCCGGCCACCGCCACCACCAGGATGACCCCCAGGAAGACCAGGCGGATGCCGCGGCTGGGTGGTCCGGGAGGCGGCGGAGGCGGCGGCGGCGGCCCGGGGGCTGGGGTCCCCTGTCCGGAAGTGAAGTTGAGACCCCAGCCAGGAGAGACAGGTACGGAGACGTTGGGCGCCGGCGAGAAAGTTGAGAGGCTGAAAGGATCCTCCATCCTTAGCCTGGGGGATAAGGAGGTACGGAAGCGGGCCGGCAGGGCGCGGGAAACCCAAGTGGAGGCGAGGCTGCCAGGGGCACGACGCCGCGTCTACGAGTTCCCAAAGTTAGTTGAAAACGCACACACACACACGGAGGGAAATGGATTCGGGTAGACTTGCGCCTAGTTGTTTTTATAGGTTGTCCTCGTCATTTGTCACTCAAATGTGGGTTGTACACTCGAGGAACACACATGATTCTTATTCTCCACCTTCTCCGTGTCTCTCCTCCCAATCCCGCTGGTTGCCCCTCCAATCTGCCGCAGCTCCCACGGTGCGCTCGCGGTAGCAGCGGACCACAGTGCTCTGGGTGCCTCTCGGTTTGCTATTTACACGTAGAGCACAGCAGGGCCGAAGCTCGCTTTGCCTGGCCTTTGCAAAAAGCTCATGTTAGCTGGGACCAACATACCAGAGGGGAAGGTCCTGACCGAGATTGTACGTCTCGAAATGGTTACGGATTGCCGGAGGCGGGGGGGCGGGAATAGAACAGACACTAGTTTTGATTTAAAAAAAATCGGAAATGGGAAATGCCATGGATCTGCGTGTACTAGCATGAGAAAAACAGGAAACACAAGAAACCCAACAGCGTTTGGGGCAAAGAGGAGCCCAGTAGATGAATCTTTGATAAAGATATGCCTTCCTCTGGCCAACAATCTGAATATTTACTTGCAGAGAACTAAAGTAATGATACTGCTTGGCATTTAAGAGGAGCAGTGATTTGCAGATGTTTCAAATACTCATTACTAGAAGCAGTGGATCGCAGCTGCTCTCTCGGTGATGTAAAATTCACTGCATTAGTCTGAAGAGGGCATTAATAGGTTTTATGCAAATGGTAGTACATTTGTTGATTTTTCCCTTAATATTTTCATCCAGTGACGGATGTGTCATCATGGCTCTTCATTCTCTTGATTCTGTTTTCCAAGCAGATGGAGGTTGCTGGGAGGGACTACGCCCCCAATAAGCCTAGAGAAAAGGTGACTAAGAAAATGATAAGACGGCCAATTTTTAAAAAAGAAATCCAAGTCACAGGAAATGGTTTAGATTCAATGCTATGTCTTTTACTTTAGCCTTATCTGCCCACAAACAAATCTTAGTTTTCCTGTTGAAAGCTTCAGTTTGTCTTTTATGCACCCTCCACATGATCACCGTGCAAGTAGATTTCCTGCGCTTCCTGGTCTGGGCATCTGCTGGGATTCACTGTCCCAGGCTGAGGACACATTTGGCACTTTAAGATGCTCCAGAGAGGAGGGTTTGGTGGATGCAGAAGACAGTCCTCTTAGTTGCCTGGAGGAATCCTAATTCCCAAAGTGTTGTCCTTTGGCCAGAGACCTTTGCCATTTTTTTCCTTTTAAGATTTTATTTATTTGACAGAGACACAGCGGGAGAGGGAACACAAGCAGGGGGAGCGGGAGAGGGAGAAGCAGGCTTCCCGAGGAGCAGGGAGCCGGATGCAGGGCTCGATCCCAGGACCCTAGGATCATGACCTGAGCGGAACGCAGATGCTTAACGACTGAGCCACCCAGGTGCCCAACCTTTGTCATTTTTATTATCCTCTCCCCAGTGCCTAGCACTGGGCCTGACACAGGCGCGATATCAGGAAATATGTTTTGAATTGCTGAACTAATGGATATATGATGCATTTCAGAGAACTTTGAGCAAATATTCCTGCTTTGACGATAAGTCCATCAACCTAAGAAAAAAAATGCCTTTCATACCTGTGCCAGTATCATCCGGAGGAGCCCAGGGAAGCTCTGGGGAGATGGGGGCAGAGCCATTCTTGGTGGAACACTTGAAAAAGAGGTAGAGCGATAGCCTTGGGAAATCAAACTCTTGGTTTAATTTTTACATTCTCCCCTCGGAGGCTTTTGCCGAGGACTTTTTCTTCGTAACATACATCATCCCAGCTTATGATCCGCTCCTTTCAGGGAGCTCTCTCTGAGCAGTACCCATAATTCAATGATTTCTCTAGCCAGTATCAGTTTAATATTTCTCAAGATAATTCTATAATTTGTCTCAAATTTGTTGAAATGCTCTCATATAACAAGACTCTACCAGTGAAATTACATTTCGCAGAACTTAACTTTACCAAGACCTGATAAATCATTGATTTAAAAAAAATAATTTTTCTCAAAATAACACATACACAGAGTTTGGAACGTCGAAGAGAACTAGAAGGCTGACAACAACATAGTTTTCCGGTCCACACACTCTCACTCCTCCTTCTCCTCTTCTAGACGGAACCAATTTAGAATTGATTTACTGTTTCTTCTGGCACTTACTTAATTCCAGAATTCTAAATAGCAAATGTGTAATGTGCTATCTATTAGCTTCTCATTAGATAATTTCTCCTTTCCCATACTTAATACAGTAATACCGTAATTTTGGGTTAGATCTATATTTAGTGTTTACATTATTGTGAAATGAAAATATTCCCAGGTGAATGTTATAGATATTATGAATATCATTTTCTTTTTCTTGAAGTTAATAATTGCCTTAAATTTCATTGTTACATAGCTAATTCTTCCTATACCTCTAAGTAGTCCCTCAGTTCAGTTTTGTAACAAAATGTAGCAATTCCAGTTTATTTTTCTTGGAAACGTTCTTACCAGAGACCTCCATTTCCTTCCTGTGTGGGCTGGTTTCTCTCTAGGCCTACTATACAACTATCATTCTAGAATGTCTATTTGTTGTCATCACTGAAACTCTGCCTTTCTTTTGGGTTGGAATTCTTGTTTCTTGGATCTCTGGTCCTTTTTCTTGGTTTCTTTCCCTTTTGGTAAAACACATCATCCAACATGTTGTAAGGTTAAAAAGATTGTGCAGAGGCTAAGGACATAGCTGTGGGAGTCTTGTTGCACCTATTTTTTGAGTCACGGTGCCCTCCAGGACAGCTGTTACCCAGGCATCTCCCTTTACCATTATCCTAGAGACTCCTTTCATTATCTCATGCTGGGTTTCCTGCTTTCTAATTTCGTGTGTGTGTGTGTGTGTGTGTGTGTGTGTGTGTGTGTGTGTTCTTGGTTTATTTCCCTGCTTGGGTAGAATGCATCCTTCAGTGACTTCTAGAGAAAGGATAAATTTTGGGGATATTGCATGTCTGAACATTTCTTTATTTTACCATCATGCTTAACTGATGACTTGGCCGGAGTTAAAATTCTATGCTGGAAATGCTTTCTTTCTGAATTTTGATGGCATTGCTCCATTCCTTTCTGGGTTCTAAGTGTTTGTGTTTAGAAGCCTAAAGTCGCTCTGGTTCCTGATTTGTGTAAATGTGATCATTGTTTTGTTCATTCTAGAACTTGATTCTTCTCTTGTCTCTGACAAATTTCACAAGGATGTGTTTAGTTGGATCCACTGCATGGGTTGTATTTAATTGCATTATTTCTCTAGTGACCTTTAATCTAGAATGATTTCCCAGTCTGTCTTTTTCCTTTCATGACTCTGACAGGTCTGAAGGGTCCATGACGCATGTTTGGTAGAATGTCTCTAAAGTTTTATTTGTTTCCACATAATTAAATTTGGATTAGAGTTTTGGGGCTGAAATACTACATGGGTAATACTGTGTTCTCAGTGCATCATTTCAGGGACATACAGTGCTAGTCTGTCTCAATACTGGTGATGTTAAGCTTGGCATGTTTTTAAAACAAGGTTTTGGGTTCTGTGCTCGTCCTCCAGAGGTAGCCACTCCCTGGCCCATATCCACCTGGCCTACTGAAGGGGCTCCATCCGATCTCTAGCCCTGCCCTCAATCTTTCTCATGAGTGCTGCTTCAGGTCCATGAAAAAAGTTCATGGTGGTTTCCCTTGTGTGGGGGGCTCCCAGAGTTTCTATTGTTATTATCACACACATTGGACTAAAATTTTAAGGGTTTGTTAAAGTTATCAGTTGTTTGGTTACCCATTCTTTTGGCTGCTAGTTCCCCACCCCCCTTACATTCTGCCAAAGGTGACCCAGATTGAGTGTCTCACCCCTTCTCAGAGGAGCTTGCTACCCTTTTGAATTCAGTTTACCTGTTGCCTTGCAGCCTCAGGCACCTGATGGGCTCAAAAAAAGCTTAGATTATCTAGCTTTTTTTTTTTCTTGATTTTTGTTAACATGGGAGGAATATTCCCTTGCAACCTTCCCTATCCTATGTGAAAGCACAACTCTCAGAACATTATTTAAGGATACCAATCCTTGGCTATAAATATTACAAAATTGATGCTTATTTTGTTGTCTAAACTTCTTGAACAGTTTATTTGCTCTTAATAATAAAAAATTTAAGGCTAAAAATATTCTGAGTGTAGTTCTGGTTGTGTGTCACATGTTCTGAGTTTTCTCATTTTCTTTATTTTAAAAATAGCATAGAACTGTAATTTTTTAACCTAAGAATTAAGATTCTGCTTTATAACTTTATTTTTTAAAAAGATTTTATTTATTCATTTGAGAGAGAGAGAGGTGGAGAGAGCACAAGCAGGGGGAGCAGCAGAGGGAGAGGGAGAAACAGACTCCCTGCTGAGCTGGGAGCTGGACATGGGCCTTGATCCTAGGACCCAGGGATCATGACCTGAGCCGAAGGCAGACGCTTAACCATCTGAGCCTCCCAGGCACCCCTCTGCTTCACAACTTTAAATTGTGTTTTAAAGGGCTAAAAATCTTACCTGAGAACTTTATAAACAACACACACACACATCCATAATATATGATCAGTGTACAAGGGAAGAGTTCTAGCACAGGTCTAGATCTTTCCTGTCTTCCCCACTGATTTTCTTCCACCTAGTTTGTGTTGAGACATATCTTTTTTTCATGGCCCCTCATTGCCAAGTTCTTAGTTTGATTCAGTGATTTATAGTATGATTTAATAGCCAGTAAGAATAGTCTCATCTTAACTTTCTTTTTCCATAATTTCATTAGATATTTGAGACTTTTCTTCCATGAAAACTTTGATTGTTTAGTCCAATTAAGAAAAAAAAATCCCCAA